ATTTTTTTTCTAGTCATTTTTTTATTCAGGATAGAGTAGTTGTGATATGATTATATAGATCTTGAGTAGTGTATATAATTTTTGAAAATAAATACATATGTGTGTATTAATATTTTGAATTATATAATCTATTTTTGTTGTTTACTACTGATATATGATATAAGATAACTCTAATTATTGTTTATTAAAAGAATAATTCTTCAAATTTAGATTCTAAGCATCACTGTCACCCCCAAGTATAGTCAGGGATATTAAAACCATTCATCAAGATATCTCATAAAATGTTTTATGTGATTCGTACACATTCTATATTGGCTAAGTGAGGATATTTTGAGTAGTTATCCCAAAATGGGTTTCCTTCTTTTATTGTTTTTTGCAATAATTGTACTCCCTAGTTTAATCACGTGAGTTGAATGTGACATGAGTTATCAAAATTTATATATTATTCTCTCATAAATCCAATGTTCAAGATCTATTTCCCCCAATTTTATTAATGTAATGAATGTGGCCTATATTATTAAAGTCAATCATATTTCTCTCTTTATATTATAATCATTAAGAGAATTTACCATACTAGAAATAATCCATGGATATAATAAATGTTCTCTCCACCATGTGTTATCTTCAATAATATGGGATGGGCCCAATTTATAATTGTGAATATAATTAAAAATAATAAAAAGAGAGAAAGAAACTCTTGTTTGAGGGAAACTAGTTGCCCTTGTCACAGGTGGAACTTTGTTCTATACTCCAAGGGCTTATATATCTCTCCATGCTTTGTTGTGTGAATTTGGTTGCCCTTATCATGGAAGGAAACCGACTTTACTCTTCAGAGAAGTTTATGTTCATTCAGAGTATTATCACTATTTATCCTTTGAGGCATTTTATAATTATTTATGAGATGACCTTGCACTCCTCTTTTCTTTTATAACTAGAGTTATGTGCTCCCTGTCACTGACGTGGTAGATCTTTTTTTGGGCATTAATATCATTTCTTAGTAGATTCTTGTTTCTCATTGGGAAATCGCTCATTTGCCTCCTTAGTGACATTTCTCCCCATTGGAGTCCCGCTCTTAGCTACAAGAGCGATCCTTTAGCTATGTCAAGGTGGCCCATTTCTCTCACATAGTCTCATTACTTAACATGTGTGCTACTTATGTGTTTCTCTAGTGACATTGTTGATTATAACAGAACTTCACGTGTTTCTCTAGTGACATTGTTGATTATAACAGAACTTCACTCTTACTTGTGAGTGTGTTTCCCTTGTTATCTCAATGTGATTCTCCATGTCATGGGATCACAATTTCTTTCTCTTGTATGTATCTAATTCTCTAATATGGCAAAGACATATTAATTTATACCTTCTTCTCTTACATGATATACTTGCATGGTATAGTCTCAATCTTGCTCAAGAAATTTTGTTTGTTCTTAAACACTCATGAGCCGCTTGATGGATTCGTCTCATTTAGCGGTTTGATTCAATAATAAACTTGTCAAATTTGGAGATCATTTGGTCATCCAATTAATTTCTTCAAGTTTTCAATTATACTTTATGCCCTTGATTTAAGCTCGTTCGGGCTCAAATTTGACCATTTTTGTATTGTTGAGTTGTCTTGTCAAGATGTTAAGTTCGACTATAAGTTTGCTGAAATTAAAGCTTGAATCATTTTGAGTTTAATTTTGGTAGTTTCCAATTCAAATACACTTTATGATTCATGCCAATCAAGGCAAGTTTTGATGGTGAATCATTATTCTTTTCATTATTTATTTAGCTTGCATTACTACTTTTATGTTGATTTTATACTTGCTTGTCGGGATGTATCATAACATCACATCTTAGAACTTTTTACATTAAAGCATGTAAGTTATAATGAACCTAAGTGAACTTTACTCATTTATATTCCAACATATATAGTGATTGAGCATTTGGCGCATCAGCCTAGAGTATAAATAGTCGATCTATTAGCATTAAAATGTAGCTAAATAAGTCATGATTTGTCCATTTGAGTATTTTTTTTTTGGATAAAACCCCACGAAAGAGGCCTACATGTTAATGAAGAGAAAAAAAAAACTCCATAACGACTTCAAAGCTCGCTAAAATACATAATTTGAAAGATAAAAACCTAAGAGCCTGAGAATCCACCTAAAAACAAAAACCAAGGCAATACAAAAAGAAGATCAGCCTAAGCACAAGCAAACAAAAAAAAAAAAAAGAAGTTAGTGGAAGTCACCAATTGCCCAACAGTCAAACGTCTACATCCAAAGCTACAATGTCATCCAAATTAAGTTGTAGCAAAGATCCAAAAACTGGCACCATAATAGCAACAACTCCAAAGCAGCAGCCACCAAGCCAACCCCGAAAAATAGCTATTTTTTGGATTTCCTTTATCCACTTGAGTCTACATATAGACTAGTATGCATGTTAGGGCAGATAAAAAAATAGAAGCACCGCCTGCATATCCTTAAGATGCATTTTAACTATGGGAAGTGTATATCTCCCTATATCATTTAGCTTTGTGGCATCATCTATTGCGTATATTTTTAGGTGGTTTGATGATGTTTTTGACCCAAGAAATATATAACTCCAATATATGGGCTTTCTTTGTTACATGGAACCAAGTAATAAACTTTCTTTTGAATATTTCCTCTATTGTATATAAGAGATATTTGGGCTTATTGATCATATAAGATCAATATGTATGCCCCATCTTCCATGTATCATTTATCATTTTGAAGAGCTACAAGTGCATCTTGAACTAGTATGATCAAATTGTAAGTCCCATATTCCAATCTTTTATATATTCTTTACCACATAGATGATATATACAAGCATCTTGATCTAACACAATTAAGGTGTAATTATCATCTTTCATATGTTTCATATATTCTCCACTATGTTGAAGATATTATCAAGCTTTTTTTATCTTATACGATCAAGTTGTAAGTTCCATCTTTTACATCTTTCTTATATTTTCCATAATATTAAAGAGACTTTTGAGTTTCTTGATCCAATATGATCTAGTTCTAAGTTCCATCTTGCATATCTCTTTTCACCACTTGAAGAAGGCATCATTCTTTCATACACTTCAACCTTATAGCATTATTTCCTTTGTCAGCCTTGACATGAACCATTGTGCAATTATTATAAGTCAAGTTTGTGCATCTCCTTCATATACAAGTGTAGTGCAAGTCTCGTATGCTGATCTAGGCCCGTGTTTACACACTTGGTTCATGAGGGGTCCTTAGATAAGCTAACTAACTTGGATATCAAGTTACCACCTCATTAAGTATATCAATGGATTTGATGACATGAAATAATGGAATAATTGGATTTTAACTAAATTGTCTTCCCACTTGCCATATTAATCCACACTTCATCATATATATATTCATCTCCTTCACAACCTTGGGTTGTGGACTCCTGTTCTTTTGTAGATTCTAATGGTTAATTTTGGGTTATTCCAATGATCTGAATTCATCCTATATTCTAGAATGTAACTACCATGACCTTTTGAGTTTTACAACCTCGAGCTTCTTCCTCAAGTGCCATTCTATGGGGACAATATTTTTTTACAAAAAAAAATATAAACTTTCTCAATTAGATTTCCATGATTGTGTACCCTTTACCCTATTCACCTATCTCTACCTTCTACATAGACATATTAACCCTTTTTATTTATCCTTTAATACTGAAAAAGACCACCACATCCTTCCTCATGAATACACATAAGATTGAATAGAAGTGAAGCTCCTTAAGTGAGTGTGTTACCATATATGCTCAAGGAAAAACTAGCTATATGAGCTTGCTCCTCTAGAAAATCTTGAACCGCACAATTATAAACTTTGTTTGGAATCATATTCATGGTAAGAGAAACATTTGGAATCAAACTCTTAGTTTTTCTTCCATTGATCTTCACAAGCCTATAGATTGCATATACTAGCTACAGTAAGTCATATACATCAATGCCACATACATATTTCAGTCCCAGATCATACCAATTCAACAAAAGTACAAATTTTCCATGCATGATAATAATTTAAAAAAAAAGCTAAAACCTCACACAAATATGCTTAGCCATACTATTTAATTATAGTTTGAGCATGGCATGATAAAAAATCAAATTTATATTTTGAGTTTTGAACATTGTTCAAGGTTTACTCAAGCTATATTAGAGGCTAATGGCGGAACACATAATATATAAAAAAATGTTCAAATAAAGTTTTAAATTCACAAGATTAAACATTGTTCAAAAACCCGAAGTTGCAGACATGATGGGAAGAAGGTGAACACTCATCTACTCATTTGCTCTTATTTCCTAGTCGATGTTTCATCATTCTTAGGGCGTGAAGAGCACTACAAGAGTAACAACACAATGCTCCATTCCCTATCGTATAGGTAAATTAAAGTTTGTTAATAAAAGCAATGATTTTTCAATTTTTTTTTTATATGTTAACTTTTTCTCTACGTTTTAATGGCAATATTATTTTGATTCATGTTTAAAGAGTCGAGAAATTACAATAGAACTTTTATATAATCTAGGACTTTTCAAATCCTTTATAAAAGTTTGAAACCAATTAAATCAATTTCTTAACTTGTTATATATTATTGAAATTAAGCATAAATATATTTTTTTTAATAAAACAATTAATATAGACTATATTAAACAATTTGAAAATATATTTTACATGTTATAAAATTAATATAATAAAAAATAGGGATTTTTACATACATGCCACTTTATAACATGTATATTACATATTTAACACTCAAAACTTAAATATTACACTCCTACCACTCAAATACAAACTTAACCTCAAAAATACCACTCCCTCTCACTCCGTCTCTTCTCCGCTTCACTCCGATCGAGCATCCATCTCCGATCAAGCTTCATCTACAGCTCTTCTCATGCACACGAAGGGATGGCAAAGGTTCAGACTAGATTCCGCTCTTGATCTGCGTTTACGGTAAATCCCAAGCACTTGCATCTCGCCTCACTGAAAATGGCGGGCTTTAGTGGCATAGATGTTAGCTTTTGTCCTAGGACTCCGGCAGTGGCCGTCGAAACCGTGGAGACGGAGACTGATGCTGTAGCGGAGGACATTGAGTTCCTCTTGTCGGAGAGTTCAACCAACAAAGGGTCAAAGAAATTGGTGAAGAAGTCGAGCAGCGGGGCGTCGAGCGTATCATCAGGGATTAAATTAGAAAACATCAGTAAGAGCTTCAAAGGCGTCACCGTGCTCAAGGACGTGAGCTGGGAGGTGAAGAAAGGGGAAAAGGTTGGGTTGGTTGGCGTTAATGGCGCCGGCAAGACGACTCAACTAAGGATAATCGCGGGTTTGGACGAGCCGGATGCAGGGAATTTGGTGAAGGCCAAGGAAAACATGAAGATTTCTTTTTTGAGCCAGGAATTTGAGGTCTGCCTAAACAGGGTACTGAAAGAGGAGTTCTTGAGCGCATTTAAGGAGGAGATGGAGATATCTGAGAGGCTGGAGAAGGTGCAAAAGGCGATGTATGTAAAATATGAAGCGGAGAAGCGGAGAAGAGACGGAGTGAGAGGGAGTGGTATTTTTGAGGTTAAGTTTGCATTTGAGTGGTAGGAGTGTAATATTTAAGTTTTGAGTGTTAAATATGTAATATACATGTTATAAAGTGGCATGTATGTAAAAATCCCAAAAAAATATATACATGAAATAAATATGAATATAAATTCAAGAAAATTTAAATTATCCCGAATACGTATCTTTTTTTTTTTTCATTTCTATTTGATTTCAGGTTTTATTCATGCAAACCCTCGCGGCCGCGCCTGCCGTTGGCCTTTTTAGCCGTCGTCCTCGACTCGCTGCCATTAACATGGATGTCATGGGATCATCTTCCGGTACAACCCCTGAAAACCCTGCCGCGGCGAAGGAAGCAGGCAACAACCCTGCCTTCTTCGACATATACGGTCCTGATGTAAGTCTCTTCCTTTCTCTCGCCTTCGGTTCCTGATCTCCGGATTATGGAAGCGTCGTCCCTGTTTCTTCATGCGAAACTAGGATTATTGGTTTTCCTTGTTCCCTTAGCTGTGTTTTTGATGTTCAAATATGATCTGCCCGACATTTTATGAAGTGTTCGGGCCGTAGTAGCAGCAACTTAAATGTATTCAGATAGCGATGAAACTGGAAGGAAGTGGATCGCGAGGAAGAAATATGGGAAATGATAAGCTCTATGCTTTTCTACCTCTTCCAAATTTAAAGGCTAAATATCTTAATGGGAGGTTTACCACGAGGTTTCCACCAAAGAGCTTGTCTGTGATTGCTCAAATATGAACCTCAGGTGTTTGTTAGAAGCGAACTCCTTACTGGGATAATCATTAGGAAGACCTTCTCAGAATTCTTTTGGCCTCCGGACATGGTTATGAACGAAGTGCATATCGGACAAATGTTCTTATGAGTGAGCTTAGATTAAACAGAAGGAGTTTAAGCTAGTGCTAAGAAGAATGTCTACAATTTTTGTAGCAGAGTTTAATTTTTTTGATCTATTTAATAGTCTTTCATGTGGCCATCAGTAAATATGTTTAATGCCATCTGGTTATAGTCATTTGAATTTCTTACCATTCATAAAGAATTTTATCCATACAAGATTTGCATAAGATTTGATTTTTTTGAGCTATCATAATAACCTGCTTTATGGTGCCAAATGTTGGCCATTAAAAGAGAAGCACAATACTAAGTTAAGTGTGGTAGATATGAGGATGCTCAGGTGGATGAGTGGCTTTACCCTTAGAGATAGGATTCGAAATGAGCATATTCGTGAAAAGGTTGGAGTAGCTCCAGTAGAAGATAAGATTAGAGAGAGTCGCCTTAGATGGTTTGGTCACATAAAACGGCGGCCTTCTGATGACCCGATTAGGAAAGTAGAGGTATTAGATTTGACTTATGTTAAGAAAGGTAAAGACAGACCTAAAAATACTTGGTTAGAAAATATTAGAAATGATATTTCTTTATTATATTTAAACGAGAATTTGACTTTTAATAGGACACAATGGAGAAAAAAGATTCATGTAGCCGACCCCACGTAGTGGGATAAAGGCTTGATGTTGTTGTTGTTGTATAATAACCTGCTTCTGTTTGTGTAAAAAATGACATTATTCTCTTCTTAATCAAATTATTGAATGGATTCCAAGTGCATTTATTGACTCACTAGATGTACAACAAATATATTTAGGGGAAGGCTGATGTTGTTTGGAAAACTTCTTCAACTTCTTCATCAATCAGCCTCCAGGTACATTTTTCCTTGTAATAGAATGACTTTAGCATATTGACAGTATCTAAAAATGTGATTATTTCTCTACTTTTATGAAAAAGGACATTCAAGGGCTTGTTACTTGGGTTCTAGGTGAAGGTGTGATGCCAACTTGGATTTTTGTAAAGGTATGTCTTCTCTCATTTTTACTATTTACTCTGTTATCTAGCCTAGAACGGTTTCATACTGTGCTGAAATGTATTTAGTTGTTTACTTTTCTTATTTGGCTTTTATTTTGATTTGTTGAAACTGTTCTTCCATTTTAAAAAATATTCATCTATTAGTCTACATATATCTCAGGCCCGGCAATCTCATGATTTTATTGAACCTGCTTGAAATGCTTAGAGGACACGAGCAGTAGATGAATAACTAAACGGCAACCTATCCAGCTAAGAAGTGGTTGGAGGTGGTGGAATAAGTTTAGTTTTCACAAGCAAGCCTTCATGAGATGTACTTATGAACTTTAACTTATGGTGTAAAATTTAAATCCATTTAGAATTTAGTACTTAACTTGAATGGACTTCATTTTTGGTTTAAAATTTACATATGACAATGTGAATTTTATATGAAAATTGGGAAACATTGGATGTAAACTTGCATGACCTAAACATTATTTGTTTTATATGGACGGTTTTGCGTCCTTAATTTAAAAATTTGAATTGGAATTCAAGTATCATTGCTTATATACTTAAAACTATATTCTATTTTCTTTTAACCAAACTAATATATCTTCACTTTTATGTTTTTTATGAATCCTCCTTTTTACCATCAAACCTGTGAATGAAATTCTCTTTCTCACTCTCTCTGTGATGTGGATGCAAAAGCTCTCTATATTATGTATGTGTCTACATCCAAATATGCATGCTTATGCACTCGATTTGTCAACCCTTCTTTTAAATTTGTTTTGCATAATTCACTTCTATATTTTACAAAAAACCCACACATTTATATGCATGCATGCTTGCCTGAGCAGAACCAAACTAATATAGCTAGAAGTTGTGCAAAATGACAGTGTAAACAGATTTAACACCTCAAGTCGCATTATAGCACTTGACGATAAAGGGCGGAGGAGGAATATTTATGAAGTGTACCCTAAATAGTTCAAATAAGATATACAATAATTGTGATATTTGCTGTCTATGTGTATTTTGTGAGGCTTTCATTTCCTTGTTTTTTTCCTCTTTCATGATTACAAGCTGATGTCTCCTTCAATTTTTGTAGAACAAGCCTCTTATACGGAAAGTTGTCATGCTTCATGTTCCAGGCTTGGACGCTGCACTTTATATGTCTAATTCCGTGATTTTAAGAGGCCTTGCAGGTTGCTGTGGCATTCCAAAGCCTGTTTTATCCCTCAGGTATATTGACAAAATTCAGAATAATTTTTATTTAAAAAATATTGCTTGTTTCATAATTATGTTTCAAAAATTGAGTCCCCCACCATTCCATTGCCTGTTAAATGAAATGTCATGAAATGCATCCCAAATATCGTATTTTTGCTATCTATTTTCTATAACTAGGTTTTGATGATGAGTGAATGCCAGCTGCATGGCAGATGAGATGCAAACCGTTGATGCACTTTTAACTTGCAAAGTGAAACGAAAGCGAGAGCAAATTGATTCCAAATCTGAGGAGGCTAGCAAAGTTGTACAAGGTTAGTGTCATAGCATAAGAGGGCGCCTCTAATAGAATTGTTTGCTACTACATAATAATGCCAGATTTTTGTTTTATTTTAAGCTCCATTGTTGACGTTGTGAAGATCAATCATCTGGTTTAGTGTTTATTTTTTTATTAGTAAGCAAGTCAATTCGTAAAATTTCTTTTTTATGATGTAATTTTAATCTATTTCCTAAAATTTTGTAACTTGAGATTTAAACTATTATTGCTAAAAAATTTCTTGGATATTTGGATTTATTTTTCCAAATTAACTTTGTCCCATATATTTATATATATTCTCTTTAATAAGTGGGGCATATTTCTTTCTCTATTTCATTGTTCAGAAGGTTAAACTGGAAAGTTGTCTTGTTTCTTTCAATTGAGTTGAATGTTCACATTTTTTGTTTCTATATTTCTTTTTATTCTTTAAATTCATTTGATTTCCTACAACAATTTCTTTTGTTATGGTGCTCTTTGGTTTATATTTCTGTCAGCACGTTTTCTGTTTCAAGGTAATAGTTCTGCAAGTCTTCGTTTTTTTTGCTCTTTGATCTTTTCACAAAGATTGGAAACTCTAACCTCCACTTTGGAGGTCAAAAACTACTCAACCAAGTGTTGCTTTTTTAATCTTCATGTTGTATTCTTCTTGAATTCATTTCCACGCATCCTCCTCTTCTTCAACTGAATTTAATTTATCTTCTTTTGTTTTTTAAGATATTCAATTACAAATAAAAATAGTATGAAGTCCATTTTATATTTGTTGTTTTTTTTTCATCTTCTCCTATTGGTTTTTGTAGAGGATCCTTTTCATACGATCTTCTTATGTTGCTTGACAGAGGTCTTTAAGCTCTTTTTCCTCTCTTTTTGTGCCCTCCTCTTTTTTGTTGTCGTCCAAATTCCTTTATCACTTTATCACGTATTCGTCATCTATCTTTGTTTTCAGGCTTCATTTCTTGGTTCTTGGTTAGGATGCCAGTCAGGCCGGGGGTGTTGGTTCTTTTCTATTTCTGTTTGTTGGCTAGTTGTTATTTAGTTTGTTGAAAGTGATTTGGACAACTCATTTCATTTGCGATTTAGTTGAGAAGTTTCTGCCGAATATTGAAAAATCTATTTCCTTACAGCATATTTTACGCTGAATTAGATGGTGTAAAAAATTGTTCTTCTGTAAAAGAAAACAATCTTGTTCCATGACATTCTGCATTTTCCATTGTTTCAATCCTTGGATAATTGATCTCGTGGAGGCAATCTCAGCTTTTCTGAAGCAATGCTGTTCTTTCCTATAGCTTTTTGTGCCCAGAATCTATTGTCTTACCCCCTAATACATCCATATCTGTTTCTCACCTTCTATTCAAATCACTACCATTAAGAACATGAATCTCCACCAGATTATGCTATGGCTTATTGTAGCTTCTTTTCTTAGTCGAAAGCAAGATTAAACTGTTCTCGTCATCGTCAATCTGTTGTAGTTCATAATCCACCTCTAACGTGATAGTTAATTTTTTCTCTTCTTTCATAGCTATTATTCTAGTTTCACTCATGACCAAACTTTGGCGCAATGTGATGAGGACATCCGCAGGAGATTTCGACGTACTTACCATCGGCGGAATCCTAGATCGACGGTTATAATTCATAGTTTCTTTTTATGATGTTTTAGTGCATTTCTTTTAATTATTTTTTTTTTCAGTTTTCCACTTGTACCCTTATGAGGGATTTGTGTCATGTTGTAGCTTGAGGGCATTTATGTCTTTTACATTTTGTGCTTTGGAGGCCTATGTATGAAGACCTAGTTTTTGTATTATTTTCTAATGATGATTATGAATGATAATTCCACTTTCTTGCTTGATCTCTTGGTAAGTTCTTGAGAGGAGAAACCCTAGGCGAGGGTGAGAGCAATACCAATCAATATTGGTGGATTTTGAGGTTCGCGGTTCTTCGATTTCTTCTTTCTCTTTTACCTTCATACCAATTCCCTTCCTCAACAAATTGGCATCCCTTTCCCCTTGCCCCATCTCCCCCCTAAACCGAACCCCCTTCCAGCGCCGCCAACCTCCCCTGGCTGCCCCAACTGCCGGCCACCACCCACCCAGCCGCCGGCCTTCACCCCTCCATCCATCCCTCTCCACAAGCCACAATGCCGGCCCCTCCCATTGTCACCTAATTTGAATTTCAAGTTTCAAATTGTCTTTAATTACTTTCCTAAAATACACCCTTGCTATTTAGGAAAGGATATTTATTTGAATTCAATCAACTTTTTGAATTTCAAATATCTTCCTATTATTCAAAACCTAATTAGGAAGCTATCCTAATTTCAATCAGATCTGAAACTGAAATCAGATTTGATTTCAATCAAATTAATTCCTTTGGGTCCACATATTTTGAATCTAGACATGCTCCCTCCCTCCTATGGCCGGCCCCCTTCCCCTTGTTTTTCTCTCTCCAATTAAACCCAACACCCCAATCAATACTCCCACAATTCCCTCCTAAAACCGCCGGCCCCATAGCTTTAATTTGGATTATTTTGAATTCAAATTAAACTTTATCCCTCCCATTAGAAAATCTGAAATTAAACTCAGAATTTTCTAAGTTAATTCTCCACCACTCAACCAATCCAAATCGCCTCCACCTCACCGTACCCAAGCCGCCCTTCTCCTCTACCCGGCCCCTTCCCTCCCCTCTCCTCCTTACCTGCCAACTACCGCCATCCAGCGCCCTTTCCACCTCTTCCAACCGATGGCCTCACCAAGGAACACCACCCGGATACTTTCAAGCTCATGGATGGCGGATCCGGAAGTCGACCAGGGCTTCATTTACAACTCTCAAGGGCAACTCGACATCATTCAATCGACGTTCTTTGATCCCGGATTTGGATCTGAAGACACTGTCGAAGAATACGTGAGGCGTATTCTCTTTATGTTAGTGGAAGCCACCGACGAGCAACAACCGACCAGACAATGGAAGATCACCGGACGACCCCCCGTCTCTCCAACTCCGGCCAACTTCCTGTTGATCAAATCCACCGGCATCCTCTGTCTTTTAGTGGCATCACTCGGATTGCCGACATTCCTCCTTCGTTAACCCTACTTCCAATGAGCGATCGAGAGGGAAACTTTAAGGTGAAAGCTCTATTTGTTAAGTGACGGATTATCGTTAACCGCATGTTTGTTTTACTATTTTATTATTATTATTTCGGATTGTCCTGCCAATCTAACTGTAACTGCATACTTGAAGCAAGTCGATAACCACGAAAACGGAAATTCTTAACTTAGTGAAACATTAATCCTATAATTTCATTACTAAAACAAGCTTCTTATTAAAACCTTGCAATTCCATTGTTTGTTTCACATCACAATGCCTACTTGCTGGCATTGCGAAGTCAATGTCAACTAGCTTATAAAACTATAGCAGGCCTATAAATAAGCAGGATTTTGCATACCTAACTTTATAGTTTTGTAGTTTATTGTTATTAGACCTATCATGCGCTCTTTACTAAAAATGACAGGCTTTTTAAGCATTTCCATAATCTTCTAAAGACATATTTGGGAAGAGTGAAAGGTTTCAGCTAGAATGTATCTGATGGTTATACCTATTTACAGAAAGATACATGGATATATCTTTAAAGACTTGTTTATTCTTTTTTCTATTTTCCCAACTTCAGGTTATTTAGAGCCTTGATTTATTGAGATTGTAGTTCTGGTGCAGGAAAGGCACATAGTATCGAGGCTGAAAATGATTCACCTTTTCCGTACTTATACTACACCCTTTCAAAGAAGGAGCTGGAGGAAAATGGTTATTGCTTCAGCAAGTCAGGTGATTCAAATCGTTATTTTGTTGTTCGTAATAGCTTTGCTCAGAATGAAAAGCTAGGGTAAAACCTTCTAATTGATGTTCAGAGTTTTGATACAATTTTCAATGTAGATTTTGTCCCCACTGTTCCTGCTCCTTCTGGTACACCTCCGTATGATATCCTGTCACTCGACTGTGAGATGGTAAGAATTAAATTCAAACAAAGATTCTGTGATGTTGCAATAATTTTATTGTATTCTTGGGTTTTAGAACTTTAAAGAAATGATATTCTTGATATTTAATATTCAAAATCAAGATTTTTTTTGTTTCTTTATTGGTTTTTTTCCCGCCACATACCACTGAATATTTTCTGATTATTATCTTCAGCATCCCAACCTTCATATTCACTACTATTCCACCCAAATTTCAAACACGTTAACAAATGCCACAGTATCTCCATTTTTTACTTTTAGCTCTGTTTTAGCGAAGCCAAACATGTGGGAATGATCAAGCCTTCCTTCTCACTCCACAATTCTTGTAGAGCTCTCCTCTTAGTCCCTAGCTAAGTAATTATAGGTAGTAATAAAATTCTAGACCTCTTGGGTGGATGTCGTAAGATTCCTTGCTAACCAAGGATGTGATGCAGTGAGAAACACAACAGAATATTCTTTGATGATAATGTAACATGGGGGGAAGGGTATGCAACCCAAGAAAGACAGGAGAGAGGAAGAAATTTTATACAATCTTAAGGGAAGGAAATAGAGGGGCAATCATCACATAAGGGATGTGAAAGAGAGACTTCAGAGTTGTCTTAATATTCTTCCATTGATTCATCATAGAAAACGGTTCTTGGCATATATTGAAAATATTTAATGTAAGGGAGGAAAGGTATAATTTGTTTTATTATATAATTTTAAATATATTAAAAACTATGTTGGCATGGATGAATGATGATGATCTGGATGAAGAGCCTATGCTTATGATGGTCTTGAATCATTCATCCTGGCCAATATTAATTGAAATCAGCCATGAACAAGATATTATAACTATGATGGAAAGAGACGAAATAAAGATGGGTTCAAATATTATCTCATTCCCTATGGTACATTGATTTTATAAAATATGTGTTATGTTATTCTTTGAAGGTGATAAATAAGTGGTGGAAATCAAAGCAATAACATCTTATCAAATAGCAATTGAATATGAATATCTGTTTTAGCTCATGCATTTGTAATGGACTCGATCCACATCAGGAAACTTGGTTGGATATGAGTGGCCGCATGATCAAAAATTTGCATAGTTGTTGTATTTAGATTTTATTGGAAGCTATAATTGATTTTAGCTATAGGTACCTTGTGAATGAGTAGTTGTTGTATTTAGATGTTGCAATTTCCCCCTTAGCTGGATTATGCATGTCAAATAATCCTTGCTTATTAATTAATTATTCAAATGTTGATTTGAATAAATGTTGGGTTAATTTGTTGTGATGAAGAGATATATGCGTTACAATTTTTTTTTGATGGGTGAATGAGATCATGAGAATTAATAGTAGAATTTGGGTTGTAATAATATATTTTCTTGCTATTGTTTTTTATAAACATCAACTCATTTAACAATATTCTTAACCAATGCAACTTACATATTTCATGACCTAGAGCTTCGAATTCTACCTCATCACTACTCTTGGTCACAACGGTTTATTTCTTACTTTTTTCAGGTTGCCATATTTCCTCACACAAAAGTTTAATGCTCTGTTTAAAATTGCGCAATTAGAGGCGCGCCTCAAGGCGCGCCTTTGCGCAATTTGACCAAAAAACGCCTCGAGGCTTACGCAATTCTTCACCTGGATGAGGCGTACGCCTTACCTGGACTGAGGCGCGCCTCAGAGGCGCAATTGCGCAATTCTGGGTGAGGCGTACGCCTCACAGAATTGGCCCCACCCACTTAAAATGAAACCTATTCCTCTATCATCGCCGGTCCCCTTTCCGAAATTTCGCTTCCAGCTCTCTGTTCGTGAAACGAGGCGTCCCGCATGGTCGGCTATCCTTCCGCCGCTCTCCGCCGGCGCCGCCTCTCTCCGGCGAAGTTGAAGTGTCCGGCCGCCTTGTAGGAGAAGTCCACAAACGATTTTAGGTATTTTTTTTACTTTTTGGTTAGATTTTTGAAGTGAAAGAAATTCTAGGGTTTTAGATTTTTTGAAATTTTTTGTGTGATTTTCGATTCTTTCATTAGGGATCATGGTAGAGGCAAGGAAAGGGGTCTTCGTCATTGCGGGGATCCTTCTTGAAATATGTGTACAAGTTGACATTGCGCGGAGAGAAGATCTATGTCTATTTAAAATGCAATTTTTGTGAGAAAGTGGTGAAGGGCGGAGTAATCCGCATGAAGGAGCACTTATCATGCTCTCACAAGAATGTAGCACCGTGTGCAAAAGTGCCGAACAATGTGAAAGAAGAAATAAGTGCTTACATGAAGAAAACTACCACTGCTAAACACTTACAACAGGAGCAATTTGATGAAAGGATCGAGCATGGTACTTATTTTGGAGAGATGGAAGGGTTCTTCCTCCACTATAACATAGTAGAGGTGCACGGGGTCCTATGGATCAGTATATGACTACTCCAGGAGCGATAGAGGGAAGAGTAGAGATGATCCCTGCAGCTGGTACTAGAGAGAGTCGGCGACAGGTTTGCAGGATATTGGGAGTTTTTTTTTGAGAATGCAATACCATTTAATGTTGCTACATCGTCTGCCTACTTCAGTATGTTGCGGTCTGTAGGATTGTATTGAAGAGGGTTGAAGGCACCTTCCAATGAGTTGCGAATATGGATTTTAAAAGAGGAGCTGCATAATACAGAGCGGAGCATTCAGGAGATTAAAGGACATGGATTGAGACTGGTGTGACTATTATGTCAGATGGATGGTCTGACATGAAGAGCAGGAGCTTGATTAACATCCTTGTCAACAATCCCTATGGCACGGTGTTCTTACGATCAGTTGATGCTTCAGAGGAGGTGAAAAATGCTATACTATTATTCTCAATTTATTGATGGGGTTATTGATGAGATTGGGGAGCAATTGGTTGTCCAGGTAGTGACTGATAATGCCAGTGCATACAAAGCAGCTGGTCAGATGTTGATGGAGAAGAGGACACACCTATATTGGACACCATGCGCAGCACATTGTATCGATCTCATTTTGGAGGATCTTGGTGACTTACCTCAGCAGCAAGAGTGCTCTTTCTAGGGCGAAGAAGATTACGAAGTTATCTACAATCACTTGGGTCTTAAACTTTGATGAAAATTTTCAAAGAAAGAAATCATTAGCCCTTGCAACCACTAGGTATGTTCTTAATTTTGTACATTGCAAATCATTCCTACTGTATGTTCATAGTTCTTACATTTGTGCACTCTGAATCTATAGGTTTGTCACATCCTATTTGACACTGCAGAGCTTAATGGAGGTGAGGCAACCTTTGGAGCAATGTTATATCTACTGAATGGCTAAATTCTGCTTGGGGGAAGAAAAGTGAGAGGAAGGAAATAAGAAATATAATTCTGAATGATAAATTTTGGGCTACTGTAACCTATGCCATTTTGAGCACGAGACCCTTAGTGCAAGTTCTACGCTTAGTGGATACAGAGGAAACCAGCTATGAGTTTTATTTATAATGCTATGGATGAGGACAAGGAGATGATTGCACACAACTTGGGAGGGAGGGAGGCAAGTATAGGGAGATTTGGGATATCGTTGATGCTCGGTGGGAGGTGCAGTTACACCGAATCTACATGCAGCGGCATATTACTCAATACTCAATTTCAATATTCAAGAGAAGAAATCTTCAAATCCTGAGGTGAAGCTTGGTCTATATCATTGTATGGAAAGATTAATACCGGAGCAGGCAGATAGGGAGCTTGCAGATTTACAGCTTGTTCTGTTCCGGAATAAAGAGGGTTTTTTTGGTTTGAATGCAACAAAGCAACCATTTCTAAACAATCTCCAGGTATAATTATTTTGATAAATGCAAAACATTTATTCAGTTCTGATTTGTTTTTTCTTGAAAACAGTTGAATGGTGGATCCAATTTGGTGATTCCACCCCTGAGTTACAGAGTTTTGCTGTAAGAGTGTTGGCCTCACTTGTTTCTTCTTCTGGGTGTGAGCAAACTGGAGTACATATAGCCAAGTGAAACAAGAGAAGACTCGGTATCAACACTCAGAATGAACTCTCTCGTATATATTATGCACAACAAGAGGTTGAGAGATAGGAGGTTGAGGAATAAGGGGTTGAAGGATGATGAGGACCCGTTATTGTGTGATGATGTGTCGTCTGATAATGAGTGGTTCATAGATGATGAGGCAGATTTGTCATTATCAGACTTACAGCTAGAAGATCTAAATATGGATGTATTGAGGGGCGAAGCAGATCAAATGGGTACATCCACTAGTACCACACCACACACATCTACTAATTCTGCAGCACAACAATCAAGTAAAGGTATTCCACAACTTCTTATATGCTATTACATTACATTTATGTCAAGTGAGCAATGAACACGATAATGATATTTTCTCTTAATGAACAGGGAAGAGAAAAGTGAGTCATGTTGAAGATGATGATGACATGACATTCATAGATACAATTGGAGAAGAAGATTCACTTGAAGACCCATTTAGTGATGGGATATGATTTCATTTTATATGTTTTTTGTATTTTGGGAGTTTTGTTAAACTAATATTTTGTGATTTTGTACTTTGGGACATGATTTTATTGCATCTACTTTCTTATTTTCCACTATTTTCATATATCATTTAGATGTTTTTATTGTAAGGTACAATATTGTTATTATTTTCCTGCTAAAACCCTTAATTTTTCATTTACGCAATTCTGTGTTCGTGAGGCTTACGCCTTAGACCGCCTCGAGGCTTACGCCTCGCCTCACGGACGAAAACCGCCTCGAGGCGTAGTTACGCAATTTTAAACCTTGGTTTAATGGCTAGTTTTTGATCTTTAATCATTTACTAAATCTACCTAGTCAATATTTGTAACTGCCTTAATATCTATTTCTTTATTCTTTTTGAAAATAGTCCTGTCTAGGGCTTTCTTGAAGGTACCTTAGAATTTGTTATACAATTCTCATGTGTTGGAGAATGCGTGTATTTACTCACATTACTAACTTCATAGAGAATATCAAGATGGGTTT